GATCATTGCATTTCCCGTACCAAATTCTAGTTCATGAAACAGAAAGGAAAGCCAACATGGTCATATCTGTTGGTGACATTTTTTTTTAATCCAGTGTAAACGGAGTGATTGGTATTGAATGTTCATCAGTAGGGTTATGTCCCTGGGTGCTTCACATCCTCTGTACTGATAAAAATTACTCTTCAGTTACCAATAACTCATGAAATATGAAGAGCTCATTTTTCCAATTCAGGAGACAACTACCAATTAGATAAGCAAATTTTCTTATCACTGCAAGTAACAGGAATATTAGAAAAATTATATTCAAGTTCAAAACACCGATGATTAGATAAACGCTGGGCCCATTGGTCCAGTCCTGGTGGACTTGCCTCATCCTGTCCCCACAGAGGATGGCCAGCACTGCCTTCCAACCTTCGCCCAATGACCTCCTGGCAGCTGTGCCCCCACATCCTGTTCCACTTTCTGTGGTTTACCCCCTCTGCCTATTCTCTCTGTCATTTCTGTCTCTGTCTGTCTGTCTCTCTCTTTTTACCTCCACCCCAGTTGTTTATGTTTTTAATAGTTTACTGGCTCCCCTTCTCACATAGACATCCCTAGAGACTGGCAGGTCTATCTTGGGCCCTCGGTTTTCATTGTGAGAATCCCCTGGACACTCAGCCTCCTCTGAAAGTCCACTCAGCATGAACCTTAAGCTACATTTTAACCAACTGGCATTCCCTTTGGCACCTGCAGGCTCCATCTCTTCGAGGACTACCCACTGTTCTTCTGAGAGGCCACTCATGTTTGGCCTTCAACTTACCCTTTCATTATGCCCTGAGCCAGCCACATCTCCACAGGCTAGCCCTCCTCCTGGACGCCTGACATATTTCTACAGATGAGATCACATTCACCCTCCACTGCCTCCTCCAGCGTTGGTATTCCAATCTCTTTCCAAGCCGTTACTGTGCTTCTAAGAATGCAAACTAAAGCCTGGGGGCGCACCACAACTTGTGATTCACCTACTCTTCCCTGCCCGTCTGCGGCTGGACAGAGCTGGCTCTGAACTCCATCCCTCAGCTACATACTTCACCCTGCAGCACGCATCACCATCTTAATGGTCTTTCTTTAATCTCCCGGCCAATCAGATTTGCATAAACCAAAGTAAATGTGTTCATTTAAGTGGGACATGAACCACCAAACCCATCCTCTAGGCCTGGGCAGCTAACCTTAGCTACACCCACCTCCACACCTGAGGCCTTCACTTTTTATGCAGCCAGACTCGGTTTCTTCCCTGTCGGCTGTCAGTCACTAGCTCCTCCACCAGCAACTCCGGGCCCTCATTGGCCAGAGATGCTAAGTCATTCCTAAGAGCTTAGCCTAAGACTTTCTTTTCTGTAGGTGTCTCTGTCCCTCTGTGGGCTCCTCTCCAAAGGTCCATAATTTCCTTAGAAGAGGTTCAATTCTCTGTGATTTCTAAATTGGCTTGGGTATTTGCATGGATCCTGGAATTCTTACCCACATACCAACCCAGCAGCTGTCAATGACCTAATCCATCAAGGAGTATGCAGCTCCCGGCAGGCAGAGGAAGGAAAGGGCTGTTCAATGACTCTTGAGTCCAGTGGTTTCCATACAATAGATTTAATTTCAAACAACTTAACTTTTAAAAAAACAAACTGTTTAGAAAGTGCTTAAGTGAGAAAGACAGTTATAAACACAATTTTCTCCTCTAAGGATCAGTCAGGCAGATCTAAAACCAATATTAAAAAACCAAGAGGCAAATTTCTGATTCTTAAAACATACCAAAGGTTAAAGCACAGGAAACATGGGAAGAGCAAGTGGAGGTCAGGACGTATTAAATACTAATGAACGCAGCAGGAAAAAGATGGAAATCGAATTTAAAAGCGCTTTAATTGCATACTGGAATAAAGCTTATGTTAGGGACATTGAAAACCAGCTTTGGAAGGGAATGTATCATGATGGTTGCTAGCCAAATGATCTTTAAAGCAAAATAAAGCCAAAAAAATTAAGTGTCAACAAAAGATCAGACAGGAAGTTGACACAATTGTTTCAGGATTGCAGCCATTTATCAGGTGCCAGTCCTGATGCAGGGAGGGTGGAGGGTATGTGTTGGCATGTATTACTAAACTAAGGTGCTTCCATTATCAACTTGGTCGTTCTATAGTGCATTATCTCCTTAACTTAGCATGTATATAAGCATTTAATGTATATTATGAAGATAATAATATTCTCATTAAAATCTTTTAAGCTATAGCATTTTTCTCTGAATATCCCAAGGAATCATAAAATGTATAAGATATTGGTCAATAAAATTTTTGTTAATACAGAACCTTGCAGTTAACAGCTAATGAAGTTGATTGAGTCCTATTCAAATTATCTGAATCACATCTACTGATCAAATGACAACCCTCTTTTTGTTCGAACCATTTACATAGTTTCACAGGAGGTGGTACTACTCATCTTCTGGAACAGCACTGTGTGTGTCTGCAGGAGGTCAACAGGGCGCCCTGTGGGGAGAAGACACTTGGAGAATTTTATTTACAAACTCTTTAGTTGTTCTGGGCAAATTTAGTGGCTGGAAGCATAAAACAGAGCGGAAACTAACCCGTGGAGCATCCCAGTCTTTAGATAAAGTTTAGACCCATCTTTGGCTCTGTGGTTTAAGAGAGTGGCCTAGTGGCCAGTTCCAGCTACAGAGGCACCTGTAAGCTGATCCGCTACTTGCCCTCTGCTCTGGTTTGGATCTGAACTGTCCTCCACAGGCTTATATCATTAGTTCTTGTTCTCTGCCTGGTGCTGTTCGGGAAGGCTGTGCAACCTTTAGGAAGTGGGACACAGCTTGAGGAAGTAGGAGGAAGACTTTGAAGACTAGAGCCTGGCCCATGATTCAGGTACCTTCTCTCCTTCCTGGTCCACTGCAATGTTAAGGGGTAATGGTCCATGTGCTTCTGCCTTCCTCACTGTGATACACCGAGACTTTCTGTAATCATGAGGCAAAACAAACCTTCCCTGCCTTCAGTTGTTTCTGTTAGGTATTCTGATTGCTAAGATACAAGAGTAACATGAATAACTGGTACCAGGAGTGGGGATGCATCTGTCACTGTACCTGACTGTGCGGTTATTAGGCATGTAGAACTGGTTTGTGTGAGGAATGTGGAAGAAGACTTTGTAAACGCAAGTGAGAGAAGCTCCAGAATATTATGAGAAGAGGTTAGTGGGTGTCTTAGTTTCCTTTCTGTTACTGTGATAAAATTCTCTGACAAAAGCAAATTAAGGGCGAATATCTTATTTTTAGCATTTGTACTTATTCTTTGACAAATTTGTAAATGTTTACAATGTGTCTTGATATATTGACCACCCAACTTCTCCCTCCCAATCTTCTCAAGCCCTACAACACATGACCCTCTCACTTTCATGTGCTCCAAGAGTCCAACTAATGCTTCAGCAATCTGACAAGGGCCACATCCTGAAAAGATCACATCCTTAAAGATTAATTCCCCTGCCCCAGAAGCTATCAATTACCAATAGCTCCTGCTATGGGTAGAAACTCATGAATCCTTCTATTTTTGCTATAATAAATGACTATCCCAGTCTTGTGCATGTCACCACAGCTGCTGTGAATTCAAGACTGGAATGTTATGTCCAGAAGACAGCATTGTATAGTGCTAGCCTCCACCCTCTGGCTCCTATATTCTTTTAGCCTTCTCTTCCACAATATTGCTTGGACTTTGTAAGAGGGTGTAGATGAACAGAGATGTCCTATTTGAGGCTTCAAACTCAATAATGACTTAAGTTAATGAGGGCTGTGGCCAATCCTGGGAGAGTGGCCTGTCTTCTACCCTCACCTTGTGTTTTCCACATTGACACTTTCTTCCTAAGGGAGAATCTAACACTTGAACCTCTTCTGGGTCATCCGGCCCAAGGGCAGAACCTCTGTCTTTTTGAACCCCTCATGCGGGAAGCATCTGATGTTACTCAGTGTCCAGGTAACAAGGACATCCCTGACACTCTCTTCTGGCTTCTGAGAGCACTAGGAACATATATGGTGCACATATACACATGTAAAAAACACTCATATACATCCTAACTAAATAAATGAACTAAATAAAATCCTAACTAAATAAATGAACAAATAACTCAAAAGTGTAAATGTATGAAAACATGAATAATGGCTGCCAGGAATTGGACACCTAGACCATGAATCCATTTCATTACAGAAAAAGTTGCTGCAATTTCATTGTTTTTCCCCTTCTTGACTCAGAAATAAAAGAGAGTTCTTAACACCTACATAAGTCAAGAGCCCTCTGACCAAATTAGTCCACTCTAATCAAGAGCATCGTCTTAAGCATGGGAGGAGTCTCCATAGTGGAGGTATTCTATTTTTAATTGTCAATCAGCACCTCTCTGCTTAGCAATTAAAATAATGGTAAGGAATTTTGAAAAAAAAAAAAAGTGTAACTTCCCCCATTATTCTATACTGTTGAAGGAAGAAGGTTAGCTGCTTCGTCCTCGCAACCTCTGGCCCTGTGTAGAGTCTACATGCAGGTCACCAGGGTTGGCAGAACAAACACTGAAGCAAATAAATGATGGATTAGCTGAATGGTTAGACCAGGTTTTGTTTGGACAGATCCTCAACTGCATTACAGAAATTTCATTACATTGAAAGAGAGTAATCAGGGATTTTTCTCAGAAGGGTGGCATCAGTCAAACACTGCAAAGAAATCTTTAACTTCAGGGTTCTGCAGATGCATCCTGAATTTTTACAGCAATCTCACAATCTTCTCAGGACACAGACATAGAGAGGATTTTTGCCAGAATTAAATTTTCTCAGAAATTGCTTCATTTGAGAAATTTTAATGGTAACTGTGCAGCAATGTGCACAGATAAATAATTATGTGTATATTCTGAAATGAGCATTAGATTGCAACTGTATATATTTTTTAGCTAGTGAAACTGATGATCAGTTATGCAACTGAGTATAAAATTATTAAAGCCACATCTCTTTGAAGGCTCATCAGTTCATCTAAATAGCTACACTCTGTGCTCCCAGGCAGAAGCAAATTAGGCATTTTGTGAAGAAACTATGATCTTTCTTGACACTGGGGTAAGTATATGGATGTGACATGTTGGCCCTAAAGAGACTGGGCCTCGAGTGAGGATGCAGTTCATGAAGACCTCATCCCAGGGGACGTCATTAATCTTACAAGAGGAGTCAGAAAGAGAAAATGAATTCACTTTCAGTCTCAAAGGTAAGGGCCCAGAGCAGTCAGAAGAAGATCCTCTACAGGGTATAGACGGGTTCATGTGGGTGGTCAGAAATAAAGGAGTGGATGGGGAAACACAGGAGATGTGCACTGGCTTCTATAGCCTGCAGCTGGCATTCTAGGTCAGGCAGCACTGAATGGGATGGAGCGGGAGAGATGGGATTTGGACACTGAGTCTGCATGCGCTGTCCAAGCGAGCGCAGGTGTCGTAGGGTCAGCATGGACGAATGCTGACCAGAGCTAACCGGATAGCCATGGTGAACCCTGTGACCACACGTGTGTGGGGGGGTGTCAGCTGTTGCTCCCACTCTCATTTTTGTATAGTCATCAAGAAGCTGGAGCTTTTAAATGGCTCTCCTCTGAGAAAGAGACGCCGGACCCAGGAGCCCTTGAATAGTGAAATTGCATCTGGAATTCATAGATTAGCTAGGAGAGTGGAGGGAAAACTGATGCAAATCTGGCTGTTCTTCAGAGCACCTTTCAATCCATTGCTGTGGTCTTCTACCATGAAGAATGCCCTTGACCTCTAACCTGAACGTCTCCTGCTGGTGCCCAGCTCCGTTCTCCTTGTTAGGAGGCTAACACATGTGTATGTTTTCAGTGCTGTGTTCCCACACCTGTCCTTCTCTCTCTGTTTTAACACACTGTTCTTCACAGACTCGTTTTCTTCAGTGCGGTGAGCCCTGCTCCATCTCCTGACCGCGTTCTCTTCCACGGCTTGTGCCGGCGCCATCGTCGTCCTCCTCTCCGCTGCTTTTTCCTTGACACCATTAACTCATTTTCCCTGTCGTCTTTTTGCCCAGTGCGAAAACCAGGCTCAAAAGAATCTCTGCTTTGTGTTCCCGGTAGAGCAGGGAGCCGCAGACATGACCTTATGATGTTCCCATTCTGCGGGAAGTGGCCTGCAGCTGCAGCTACTTCTCTGCTGAGTGTCAGCCTTTACCGTCGAAAGTGCGGTGTGGGCTCTAATTTCACTTCTTTAAACCAAGTCCTTCCAAGTCAGATGTCAAAAGATGCAATTCTTCTAAAAGTGCTAAGCTATTTCCAAAGGAAAGAAACGTAAGTGCATTTACCTCTTGTAAGCTTTTTCCTGTTGAGGGTTTGTTTGTTTGTTTGTTTGTTGTTTTGTTTTGTTTCCCCAAACTACAAAATATCAGAGTCAAAGACCTTGAGAAAAACACACATGTATTGCATTCTGGGCTGATGGTTCCAGAAAGAATCCTGCACCAGGTAAGGTCTTCACAACACTAAGTAAGATCCTCATGACCCCAAGCTGTTTCTAGCACTTTTCTTTTTAAGACACCTATAGCCACTCACTGTCATCAGTGAGGCCACCAGATGCTCCAGGACAGAGAGGGACATCTGGGCCAGGTGAACAGAGGTAGATGCATTCTGAGGTGAGTAAAACTTCCTGGGAAAGGGACACTAGTGCGAGGTACATCCCTAACTGACAGGGCTGGCTGCAGAGCCGCACTGATGTTTCCAAATTTAGAGTCAGAACTCTGCAAAACAGAACTAGTATCTTTTCATCTCCGTCTGGCTACACTGTTCATTCATCACCAGGCCAATTACAGAGAACTATTGTGTCAGAGGTCATGGGAAAAGATTCCTGAAGTTCAAGAGTGGGCTAAGTGTTGCAGGATCCCTCAGGATCCCGCAGATGGTCCTGTGCTGTGACAGCTTAATCCTAATTAACCCAGAGGTATTTGCAAGGCAGATCAGGAAGTCTTTCAGATTAATTTAGGAGGAGTGCCCTCTGTCTGTCAGTGTCAGCAAGCTAGCTGTGACTGCAGAGAGGGGGAAAGGAGCCAAGGGAAGGTGATAGGAGGTGAAACTGATCCGTGTACACTGGGCACACTCTGAAGGAGTGCCGGCTGTCGGCGTCAGCAGGGTAGCTGTGACTGCAGAGAGGGGGAAAGGAGCCAAGGGAAGGTGATGGGAGGTGAAACTGATCCGTGTACACTGGGCACACTCTGAAGGAGTGCCGGCTGTCGGCTTGAGCAGCATAGCTGTGACTGCAGCAATTTCCAGCTCTAAGCTAAGCTTCTGTTGAAACTCAGAAGCCAGCTCTAAACCAGGGGTAGCAGGGTCCCCACTGCTCCTATCACCAGAAAACACACCTTTTCTAGCAGGAAGATTCACAGCGAGGTCTCCTGGGATTCCTTTCTTAAGAAGAAGGTTTTCTGGGCTCCTCCAAGGAATGAACTGATCACATGGTCAGAGGTCATATCCATATCCCTGAGTCTAGAGACACTGTGCCCTGACATCCACGGAACCTGAGCTTATGGATGTGGTAAATGGGACCTACGATATAGCTGAGCAGGTAAAGGCACTTAGTGTCAAGCCTGATGACCCTCCTTGCCACCCCAGAAGGAGAAAATTGACCCTATAAGTTGTCCTCTGACCCAAACATGCGTGCGCACGCGCGCGCGCGCGCGCGCGCGCACACACACACACACACTCACACACACACACAAACTACTGTAAAAGCTGCACTCAAGGATGTGAAGAAGGCTTGCTGTGCACATCTCTGTGCCTCACCGTGAGGCCAGCTTAGCAGGCCCCTCCTTCTGAGTAAAACTAAACTCACTCTTGGGTGTTCTTGAGAGCTACCTATTCTCCTTCTCATCTACGGAGGAGGCCAGAGAAGTCACGCCCAGAGCTCCAGATCCACTAGGTGCCCTTCCAGGCAGCGCTTTCTTCAATTGTGTCTCCCGAAGGCCTCTCTACTCAAGGCCCACACCTGCTGTCCTGCTCCTTTCCTGGCCCCCGGTCCCTCCCATCTCACTTGGGAGGTGATGGATATGGAGGTGATGCCTTCCTTCTCCTGTCTGCCTCTTGTTGCACTATAAACAGCCTAGAGCTTACAAACAGCATTCTCTCTGGAGGGGAAATAGGGAGACTGAACCGACCTTTCATCATCCTAAATTGTTTTTTTTTTCCTGCAAACAAATGAATGGTCACAAAAGTTCTCACCATCACTTCTAAGCTAAATCGCACGTTCCTGCGGATCAGAACTATGGTAGATCCTGCTACTTCTCTTACAGTCTTGGTTGGTTTGGTTGGTTTCTGTTTGTTGACTGATTGGTTTTATTGAGACAGGGTCTCATACGGCCTAGACTGGCCTCAAGCTCTCCATGCAGCCAAGATGACCTGAAACTCTTAATCCTCCCTGCCTTCACCCCAGAGCTTGAGTTTCAGCTGTGTACAAGGCCACGTCTACATAATACTGGGCATAGAGCCCAGGGCCTCATCCATGAAACGCCATCAGACCACCAGATAAGCTACACCTGGCCCCTGTCTCATTTTCTGAAACAGGGTCTCCGGTAGCCCAGGCTGGTTATAAACTCACTGTATTGTAGCCAAGGATGACCTTCAACTCCTAGCCCTCCTGCCCTACCTCCTGAGAGCGGGGATTCTAGGCTTGTGCACCAGGCTCAGCCTTCTTACAGCGCTCCCTGCAAGCTTTCACATATGGCTGTTCCTCGAATTAATAGTCACTGAACTAAATTTTGCCATAGAAAAGCATTGCTTTTCCTCCATTAGGAGTGGATTGATTCACAGGTACATGATTGGAAGGCTGTTCCTAGCACTAATAGATTACCACTTACCTTGTCTATAGGGTTTCAGTGCTCAAACCTAAATTACTAGGCTGAGCTTCATCATGCCAATTGACAAGCCTGGAGAGAGCTTCTCTACTACATCGGCTCCCCTGTGACCTTTTATGACTGCGTTCTGTCTCCTTGGAAACATCTTGATTATTCTTCTCCTTCCTCTTCAGTGTTGATGGAGCTTTAGGCTCCCATGCTGAGCTGTAGAGGCTAGCTTCCCCTCAAAACCCACACTGGACTTTACCCATTATCACGTTGCAGCCTTGGCATCATTGCTGAGAACGGCATGCTGGTGAAGAGAGACTAAGGAAGGAACCTTGGGGAAGAAAAGCTGGGGGAGGAATTCTGGAAAAGGGATGCTGAGGAAGGTTCACAGTACTGAGTCGGGGCTCATCATATTGGCAGTGGGTTTGATTTATGGCCTAAGGCTGTGCTTACTCCATGGTTATATATTCAAAGTGTATTACATTGTGTTTTTCTTTAAAGTATATAAACTTATCTCCCTAGAATGATAATAAAGACAAGCAAAGAGGCCTGGGAGGATAACTCAGCTGATAAGTGTGTGTCTTGCAAGCACAAGGACCCCAGTGCAGTTCACAGAAGCCACATTTGAAAACTGGGCACTGTTCTAATCCCATATCCATGAAGGTGGAAACATGTGGATCTCTTGGATTTTCTGGTCAGCCTGCTTTATGGTTTCCAGGCCAGACCCTGTATCAATTACAAAGGTAGATGGCATCTGAGGAATGTTTTCTGAAGTTGCCCTCTGACCTACACACACACACACACACACACACACACACACACACACACAAGTGCATACATGCCCACATGCATATGTGCACTTTCTCACACACAGACATGCACACACACAAAACAACAACAGTGCAACAAGCAAAGAGAGAAATACCCAAAAGGAAGCACAAGGTCAGTTCTGTGAGACCCTTCAGCATGAGTGCGGGCAACTCTCTGATGCAGGCATACTCAGCAGCATTTTAAGTAGTTGCTCCCCCCCCCCCCCCCGTTTTTCGAGACAGGGTTTCTCTGTGTAGCTTTGCGCCTTTCCTGGAACTCACTCTGTAGACCAGGCTGGCCTCGAACTCACAGAGATCCACCTACCTCTGCCTCCCGAGTGCTGGGATTAAAGGTGTGCTCCACCACCGCCCAGCTTCCATCTTGGTTCTTAATGACTGTTTGTCCTATACTCAAATTCCTGGAAGATGAATTCCCAGCAAGCAACCCTGACTTGGTGACCCCCACCCATGAATGTGCAGACATAACCATCTGCTTTGCGATGATCTGGATACATGTGACTAAGCGCTGTTGCTCTAGCTTCTGTAACTTGCTGACATAGATACCCAAGGACTGTTTTGTGTCACTTTAACCCCTTGACTTTGCAGAACAGGTCAGCTCTCTGCTGCCTTGCACAGGTCATGAAGCTCTTCTTAAGGTCCTTACCTTTAAAGGACCCCTTCGGCTTGACATGCCTGAGACTTGACTTTAAGGCTGTTATCTTGCTAGCAGCAAATGATGCATCTCTTAATTAAAATTGGATTGAGCCAGTGGTCTTTGCTCCAGGGGTCTCAAACTCCATAACAATAATCACATGGGAAGAGTTCATCAAACGAAAATTACTTTTCATTTCATTTGCACCGGGTTTTGAAATAAAGATTCTAATCATTATTTTTTACCTTATTTCTCCCTTTCAAATACACGTGCACAAATTCAGTGTGCTCATTTGCTGTTTTTATTAAGACTCTATCTGAAATAAGGTGTGTTGGCAGGTGTTAGCTGCATAAGGAATAAGCAGGTAAATTCTGTGGACAATGACATTACACTATTTTGTCCTCTGCCTTTCTCTTCCCCCCTTTGGCATTTACAAAAAAGCACTTTGGCTGAAGAAAACACAGTGGAAGGAACAGCAAGAGTGAACGGGGATTCTGAACAACAGGGCATCTGGGTCCTCCTGTGCCGTGCCCCCTCCCTCCTGCAATGTCCATTGCTGACCCTGGGGTCCTGAAAGGTCTTTGTCACCCATGAAGGTGCAGGAATGTGATGCTGCATTTATCATGAAAATAGAGGATGGATCAAAAGGAGAACACACTTTATGCCAACAAGGCTCTTTCCACATTGTTAGAATAAAATGCCCTTCTGGATGGTTGATGGCACCATCCATATGCATTAAGCTGTGCCATAATGTGCTACAGCCATTCCAATAAAGATACAGAACAAAAATGCAGAGAAATACCGAAGCCCATACAGGAACTATTTTATACCATGAGTAGCAGGCAGTAGGCTCCTCTCAAAGTGATTTGGTGTAAGTCCTATTGCTTGGTTAACTGCCTCTTTCATCCAAACATAAGTTTCCCAGGTCCAGGACCTGCCTCGGCTTTTGTGGACTCCATGTGCAAACAAAAAGCAATGTTGAAGCTGAGCCCATGACTCTGTATTGTGATGATCCATGGTGAGCTCAGTATATACAGAGGCTCAAGAGCCATAGCCCTGTTGCCTCTTCCTTGATGACTTGCACTATGGTTCTGTTTGTCTGCATTCTTGGATCCATGATCCCCTGAAAAATTCTATCCATTGCATGAGGACAGGACATGGATTCATGCCCTAAAGTCAAAGACCAGCTAACAATAGGTGCCAAACTGTATTGTTTACCCATCGTTTGGGTTTCCATAGGAGAAATAAAAATTGAAATGATGAGTCCACTCACTGATCTTACTGCTATTACACACACACACACACACACACACACACACACACACACAGAGAGAGAGAGAGAGAGAGAGAGAGAGAGAGAGAGAGAGAGAGAGAGAGAGAG